CCAAACTCATGCTTTTAAGAGGATGCGGTGGAAAAAAAACTTGAGATATTTTGAATTGGTTCAAAAACGAAAGTGTAAATATTCTGCTTTAAAATACTCCGTATTTTTTAAGATTACAGCAGGGAAGGGGGAACAGAAGCATCGAAGGAATGCTGAAAACGTTGATTTTTCATTTTCAGAATGATTTGAGAAAAGCTTTTGCAACTTAGAATGCATATTAAGCACCTGTAATTTCTTATAGGAGTAAAATACCATTTTCTAGTGCTGGAAGTGTCTCAAAGTTGCAGCCTAAATTATTTTTCATCGTTCTGTCTGCTATTGCAGATAGATACTATATCTAAATATATATTTAGGTACTTCTAAATATCTGTAATTTTGGTGAAATTCAGTTTTCCAAAGTGCTCAAGCAAAATGTGCTTTTGAACCACTTATTTCGAGGTTATTTCTTTGTGTGTGTAGAATCCCTAATACCTCACCATTGTCACTGCCCTCGCCACTGCTTTTACACAGATTGTTACACGGATGTCACTGCTTAAAGGAGCCATTCCTAGAGCTGGGCAAACCTTTCACCAGGGCTTCATTTGAGCCTTTATCCTGTTCCTAAATTATTTCCCAGCCAGAGGCTCTCCTTTGGAGCTCTGGACTGGGATGTTTTCTGCAGATGTTTTTACTGTTGGTTGTTTTGCACGTTCCTCGCTGCCGTTGCTGGTTCCCGGTTCGGTTCGGAGCAGGGCCGGGTGCCGGGGATGTGCCAGGCCTCTGCTTTCCATGGGTTTCTCTCTCCTTCAGCTCAGGGCTGCTCCAAGGCGCCAGGACTGGCTCAGAGCCGCGTGTGCCGCTCCTTGGGGACGCTGCTGTCGCCGCCGGCTCGGGCCGAGCCTGCCCGTGTCCCCGGAGCGCTCGAGGGGGACCCGCGGAACGGAACCGCGCCGAGCGGGGCTGGGCTGGAAGGGACCCTGCCGGGCACCTCCATGGCCTGCGGGTTTCTCCATCTCCTCAGCGGCTTGCAAGGAAATTACTTCAAACTGCAGCAAGCTCTCACCCTTTCTACATTTTGACAACAGGGTAAAAGATGGTCTGTGGAGCATGCAGCTGAAAGTGGTTAAAACTGAGGCGCCCCTTGCTCCAGGAGGATCTTCATTTGTATCTCAAAGAATTTATTTTTACAATTCCTACTTGCAGTCCCCATGACAGATTTCAGGTTTTCTGCATACAAAAATAACAAATAATCTAAGACTCGTTTTTTCACTGAAGCGGGGCTGAGCTTGCTTCTTTGAAGAAAACAGCCGGAATGGTTTCATCTCTGCAAGAAGTACTGTTGAAAAGATGTTGATCCTTAATTTTAGGCAGATTAGGGGCGTTGCCCACTGGAAATGAGCAATAAGTAATACAAAGAATTTTGGACCTCTGACACTGTGGCTGCCTCATGTTATTTTTGCTCCTCTGTCAGTGAGGCCGTGTGCTTGCTCCTTGTAAAGCTTGGTCAGTAGATGTTTTGAAAATGGTTTATGAAAATTATATTTATTAAATAAAATTTTCACTTCTAGCTGAGTCATTGTTTTAATTATGTATGTGGTAGAGGAAAAGATGGCAGATCTACCCTGGCCCAAGAATAGTCAGGAGCAGGGCTGGAGAAATCACCAGCAAGAAAAAAGTAACAAATCTGGGCCTGTCTCCACAATTTTTACAGCCCCCTCCTTTCTCACCTTCCCAGGTTCCTCACCCTATTTTGATTTATTCCTCAGACTCCTGCCACTTTTCCTTTGAACACTGAAAAAGGCTTGAAATGGTATATTCCACAAACACAGAGTTGAGTTTAGAAAAGAAACAGCTGCAGTTTCATGCAAAACATTCAAACTGCATTTAGGCAGCTTTTGCTGACTGAGAAGTTCCAGAAGGTGAGTGTTGAGTTCCCTACCAGTTTAGATGGTCAGACTTGGGCCTGAGGTACAGGTGCCTATTTAGGAGCAAAACTCTTGGTGTTTATTTTCTGCAGACACTTCCACTTTAGTACATGTTGGTATTAAACCAACTCCATATTTACAAAATAAGGCATGTTTTTGATGGATTAAATTATATTTACATCAAGTATTTCATGGTGTGGTCAACTGCTGGAGAGCTCAGAGGCCTGAAAGGCATCACTGGTTTTTGTTTAAAAGCCAACCCAGACAATTTACCATCCTCAAATAAAATCTACAGAGACTTCTGGCAACGTTATTTAAATAAGAGTGTGAATGACAAAAGTTTATTAAATGCATTCTTTAAAAAAATTGTATCTTTCTTAAATAAGGATGTCTCGGTACGGATTTCATAGTAAAACAGTTTTGAGGCAAGTCAGAAGTTACTTATTAACAGGCTGATCAGTAAAAAGTGGTTTTACTGCTGTACTTGAGGCATATCTGAGCCACTGCAGTGTGTGGTGCCTTCCTCCACATGCTGGGGCATGGCCCTGCCCAGGGCTGGGAGAATCAGCTCCAGGTGGGACTTGTAAACACTGGGAACAAGCAACAGGCAAGGCAGAGGAGCAGATTTTAGAAATTTTTTTTTCCCCACCCAAAAGAAAGACTTGGCCCTGAACTGTATTTTATGCAGAACACGTATTCCATGTTTTTTTTTCTTTCCCCCCCACTCCCTAAAACCACATTCCAGAAATAGGTTTTACAAATAATACACTGAAACAATGCAGTACAAACCTCAGTCATGGCAATTTCACTGGAGCTTTATTGCCTCTGTTGGTAATGAGAGGGATTGTAAGAAGTTACATTTTGAACTTACAGAGATATGTAAATGATGGGTTTTTACTAAATATAATCTCAATATTAAGTGTTTTATATCAGGGCACTTCTAATTTTGTACATATTTTAATGTATAAAAACAGTTTACAAACTTGATGTTTGCCTTCATTTTGTTTTCCTTGACATTTGGCAAAATTAATCCATTTGCGGGGATATCATCAAATTGAAAAC